GAAAAAGAAATAAGCAACCCTAAATAATAATCTATGTATCCATTTGGATTTTCTACAATGCATTATCTTATAAATTCATAGAATTATTAACTTAACACGTTAGTCCCAAATCAGGATCAATAGAAATATTATTTAATTAAAGATATCAATCGTTCGTTTGCTCCACCTTTTCTCGAGTATTTGTATAACTTATGTGAAGGGGCATTTTCTGCTTTTGTTCTTCCACATGAAGGGTGAAATGAGAATCCACGATGAAGTGAATAATTTGAACGTTTTTACTTTTTATCAAATATAGTTGAATAAATGATAGGAGCTAAATAAAATATATAATATAAGGGTTCAGACTCTAGGGTTTGGACTACTTAAATTTTTATATTTTAATAATGATATTGTAATCTTAATATGATTTTAGAGTCCATTGTGTTTGATGTAAGTCTGTTCGTTTGAAACTCAAAACTAACATGAAGGGTTTTATGATAGATGTGCTCAAAAGTTACTACTTTTAAGTAATTTTTACTTCTAAATGTGTTTGAATAAGTTGTTTATTTCTTAATTTTAAGTAAAAAAATCACTTGTAACTGCAGTTTTTAAGGCCAAACAAGTACGTACTGATCAGCTCATTAATACAAATACAGGCTCATTAAATTAACCCTAGCAACCCCCTTTCCGACCCACGACAACCCATGCCCAACAGGACCATGCCCAACAAGAGGCTTTAAAACCCCACAGAAAATAATAATGAAAAATCAGCTCCAACACATACAATGAAGCTGAAGAAAAGTGAGAAAAAAGTAAAAGGGTCCAAACCAACATGGAGGAATTGGTCGAATCACACGGCTTTACTATTATCCCAATTATACAATCGATCATGCAATTCTTTTACTGATTATATGTTCAATGATAACTCCAAAGGTTATCGTTTTCTGAATTTTCCGGCGAATCATCGTCTCCAGTTGGTTTCATCCAAGGTGGGCTCACAAGCATGCCCTCTGCCATGTCCACCAGCAAATTCGGCATGTTCAAAAGTTCCTCCTCGTCGACAAAGTCTTGCATAACTTCATTTTCAGACTGGGTTTGTGGCGGTACCGCCTGGTCCCCACCCTCTTCCTGCGGCGGTGCCATGGCTGATGCAGCACTAGCAGCTGCAGCTCGAATATCGGCAGGGGATTGAGAAGTAGGCAGTGGATATGTGGAAACTAAATTCGGAAAGTTCACGGCGGTGTCGGGCCCTTTCAAAGCCAAAGAAGCGACATCATATGCTGCGGCAGCCATTTCTGGGGTGGGGTACGTCCCAAGCCATATACGTGTAGTTTTACGCGGTTCTCGAATTTCTGACACCCATTTTCCGCTCCTCAATCTGATTCCCCTGTAGACTGGGTGTCGTCTGGACGGAGAGTCGGTGGTGGTGGGTGACGGGAAGGGTTGTTCACTATTTTCATGTGGGCTAGGTATAATTAAAGGGTTTGGTGGTTGTTCCTGGTGACGTACATTGGGACGATTGGCCATGCAACAAGAATCAGGTTTCTTAATTTGGATTTGTGAGAATTGGTCAAGTTTTTTGGGCCTTTTATTGGAACGAATTCAGTAGTGAAAGCGTGGGGAATTCGCGGACCCCTTGTATTTAGTGGGCCTAACGTTAACACTAATTGAGTTGTTTTAAGGTTTATTTGAGGCTATAATTTGTCACGAGCTACAAATTAGCTGTTACTACCTATGTAGATTGCCTCATCTCTCTTTAGTTTCCTTTAGATTTCCTATATCCAAATCAAGCTTAGTTTTTGTTTTATGTATAAGATCTACTTAATTGTTTTTGAGCTAACTTTTTTTACTTTACAAAATAAGCATAAATTCAGAAATTTTATAATAGTTATTACCTTTCGAAGTGTTATTGTATCAATGAACAAGTAAGAGACAATCCAGCGATTTAAAACATCTAAATAGTCAGAGAATAGAAAACGAAGAGAATTCTCGTCAAAACGTTTTGTACAGCGTATATGTTTTGTCTATATATTTGTACTTACATTGCATATGATATGTTTAGAACATTAAACTATAAATAATTGAACAAGGAAACTAGTTAATCTAGGTTTAATCTAGGTATAATATTTCTTCTTTAATAGTTTTGACCAACGAATTTCATGTTTACTCTAACATATTAAACTATGTTATATAAACACTGTCACTTAAAGAATGTTGAATGTTGACCTTAAAAAGTAGAAAATGTTTTTTAATGTCAGCATTGGAGTTATCTGTCACAAATTTTTACAGGATTTTGTCCCATTTTAAGTTTTTCTATGTGTTTTGGCATGAGCTTTTTGTTCAAAGGAAGAAACAAGAATTTTCCAGAGGATTTCCAGCCCAAAAAGTGCACTTCAATTGGAGAATGCTGAAATTCTCAAGAAGGACGACCCTTATTTTTGCTCTAATCCAAGTCGATTGTTTTAGAGAGTGGAGAATTGGATCGTTGAGATTTTTCTTCCTCTAGGTTTTTAACTCTTTCATTTTCAATTCATTTTTTTGTTGTGTCAATGGCCCTTTTTATAGACAATATTTAAAGATTTTTTAGTCATTTTTATGAGTTGACAAAGTCATCATCATTCTATAAGCATTTTTAAGTCCTACTTCTCATATTTTGTCGAGTTTCGTACTTTCGTGACATTAATCATGCAATTTGTTACGTACACGAGTTAGCATGGAAAATTTGACTGATTTAACTTTGTTAGAATGCATGTCAAAGTGGCATCTATGTTCGAGGTAGAGTTGAGGCCTTTATTTTTGCTATTTGGACGAGGTTTCTAAAATTGTCTTTTATCCAAGTATTGAGGTTGCGGCAACTTGCTAAACAGTTCTTCAATAGATGAGGCATTTTATCCTTCGGCCGAACCTAGCGATCTTGATACAAATATTAGTAGAAACGCTGGCATGTGATGTTGCCCTTTTGAGGCTAATGTAATTACTCATGAGTAATAATTATTTCAGTACATAACATTAGTCTCCCAAGTTCGAGTTTTATATTCACGTGGAATGAAGGAGTTTAATCTTTTTGCTCATGTTGGTGCTGAAATTCTGACTACTATTCATATCACGACATTGCTTCGCCTATTTCTTGTAATATAATATGCGAATGTCGAAGCAAAATAAATGCTTTCACTAATATCGGTGCATTTGTATTAGAAAGAGCCAAAAGCTGATAATTGGTATTCTTCTAGCTCATAAAAATTTCGAATCGTTATGCATAGAAGAAATCCAACAGAAATCCAATACATGTATATAATGATGGCTTTTTTTTTTTTTATCAAATATGTTAATCCTAAGACTTTGGCAAAAAATTCAACCCCGGATATTCTTTAAATTCGAGGCCATATATAATGTTTAGTCCCAAGAACTTCGACATCAAATATTCTTTCAATCCTTTGCTTATTTTTAAGGGGATGCTCTTCTAATCCCAAGATAATTTTACCCGTATAGGTTCAAGAAACAAGTTCAAGATGTGTTCTTAGCTTATCTCTCATGTATTTTTTTTTTCCAAGAAATCTCCTGGATAAGTTTTTGTATAAGTTAATGGTGTAAGTCCATGATGGATTGTTAATCCTTTCTATCGAGACTTTACATAAATATCCTGATGCAGGTTAACCGAAAAAAGCCTATGACCTTAAATACCGTGTTTGGGTCTTCAAATATAATAGTAATCTTCGGCGAGTTAATGAATAGAGATAGAGATAGAGATAGAACACCAACTCTCCTAATGAGTCTTCTAACATAATAAAATTCTCATAATACTCGATGAATCATTGGAGTGAGAACCAGATGGGACCTCAATTCCCTCATTGGGTCTTCAAATATAACATAATACCAACAATCCTCTATGAGTTAAACGGAGTGAGATCGAGATGCAGTCTCAACTCTTTCAATGATTATTCGCATACCTCACTTATTTTACCTTTTTCTATTTTTCACGTTTCAGTAAATTACACTTTTTGCATATTTTATGCGTGTATCTTGATTTCGGTGAGTTGAAATTATATCCAATATTTTATACCATTGAGTCGCGATTTTATTGTATTGTGTACACGTATTTCTAGTTAAAAATGATTATGATTATACACTACGCATAAAAAAATTGATCTCAATTCCTAACCTACTAATTTTTTTGAGTGTCAAGGCTTTCACCCGTAAAAATAATATAACTCGACTAGAAGAAGAAAATGAAAAAGTCCCATTGCTCTAAATTAATTAATTAATTTTTTTTTTTCAATATTGCTACATGAAGACTTTATTAATCCTGAACAGAGACAAAATTCACAATCAATTGTCGGCTAGCCCCATACTTTAACAAAGTTTGTTGTCGTTCCAATGGGGGAAAACCATTAGACAGTTAATCGTAATTACACTTCTCTATTCAAGTTTAATCATGTGGTTTCGGAAAAAAGTAGAGTGAGAAAAAAGAGATTATTTAGGATTCCAACTTAATTTATTAAAAACAATTATTTATACTGTGATTATCATCATGACTTCGAAAATTAAGATCTAGTGATTCCTTTTTTCAAATTTTTAAACAAAAATGAGTATACTTTTATCCATGTTGTGGGTCAAACATATAATAAATAAAAAAATAAATCACCTTTTTGTTTGATTATGGGGTGAATTTTCGAGCACGAATGATTTACTCTTTACAATATAAAATTGTTGTTTGAAAACGTGTCGATATCTGATATATTTCTATACTGTTCTAAAGAAAATAGCACGAGTTTTAAAACATTAAATTGTTCAATAATGCAGAGTATGCATGATTGGAATGTAATTAAAATCTGGAATTCTAAAGCAACTGAAATTGTTTGGTACAATTTAAAATTCAATTAAAATCAATTTTTTGATTGTTATTTCACTATTTCAGCTATCATTTTTGAATTCTTTTCTCACAGGCAAGACCACTTTATCTTTAACGGTCAAAAAATCAATTAACAAAATTTATTCTTATAAATTTTAATATATTAAAATATAGCAGTTGATATATCTAATCTAAAGACTTCAAGAGTTAAGTCTATTCAATAATTGCTAATGAAAACTATGCCAGTTTTATATGGAAAAAAAAAAATTTAACTTGTAAATACCTAATTTTCAAGGTTTGGGAAAAATTTTAGAAGTTAGGCCCTAAATTATGGTATGCTCTCAATTTTTTTTAATTGTAAAAATTTTGTGGAACTATATCATAAAAGTTAATAATAAAACTGTAAACATAATTTCATATTACAAGCATTGTATTATAATCTTCGAAAAATATCGAAAATGTTCCAAATGATCATTTAGACATTTCAACACATTTCATCAAAATGATGCAACTTGCATAACATCTTATTTAATCCTTGTTTAATGGTCATTATTGGTAAAATAAAAAAATAAAAAATAAAGAGCGATTTTTTGAATAGTGATTTTTTCTTTTTTTTAGTTTACATGCAAAATATTTTATTGTGCGGATATGTGGTTGAAAATAAGTATGAGAATTAAAGATTTTTGTTTTAAATAGAGACAAGCAGAGCTTTGTTATCTCTAACCCATTACACCAAATTTTATCCACTTTTTATTTTTTATTTTTAATTCTCAATAGCTAATTTACGTAAAAATTATTTAATAACTTATCATATTACTAGTAAAACTCCTAAAATTTAGCTTTTCCTTATGTTGTATTTTACTTGAAAATTTAGTTTTAGTTATTTATATTGTTGTAGTGCTAAATTTTATAATAAAAAGATTTGTAATGACCAAATTTATGACTTTTGAATTCTAACGTGTAACTTAATATATTATTAATTATTTGATTGTAATTTATTATAAATATTAACCAAAATAAAATAAATTTAAACAAAATGATATAATAAAATAATATAGTAGAAATTAAAGCTCGTTATAGTATAAAATGAATGACAAAATGAAAAAA